CTCGTTTCCCCAGCCCACACTCACGACATACATAACTGTGGATACTCTCTCCTCGCACTCCTGCGAAGTGTCCAGCAAGCGTGCGAACAAAATGCTCTCCTGCTCTTCCTTTTTTTTTATCCTCTCCCTCTCTCTCTCTCTCTCTCTCTCTCTCTTTCTCTTTTCATTTTCAGTTTCCTATCATCTTAAACAAAATGCGCAGTGGCTGTAACTCCCTTCCTTGTTCATTTCTATATCCACACAAGATGTCTTCTTTCAAGGGCGCGTGCATACGCTGTTGTGCACCTTCGTATTAAGCCACGTGCCCGTCCACGAACTGCTTCTTCTTATTGGCTACCACCTCTAAAACGAGAAGGTACCCTGGAGTAAAATAATTTCTGAGAAAGTACATTAATCAGAGGATTGCCTTAGAAGATGTAGAGTTTTCAAGTCAAGAAACAACTTTTTTTCCATCAAAGCACAGAAAACATTCTAATTAAAAAGCCCCCCTTACGTACCTCTTGTGATTTACAATATATATTTATTCTTTCACGCTCTCTTGAACTACGTGTTGATGAATACCAATAATCATCACGAATTAGTATTACAGTAGCAAAGCTTGATAACAAATTTCAGACGCAAAACAATCTGAGAAATTCTCTAAAATCAAAGTTGACCCAACTAGGATTTGAAACAGCGCTCCACTGAAGCCCGCATCTTAACTGAGCTAATACAGACGGCCTTGTCAACTAAGCTATGACTGCTCCCGATAAGTACTTGTTTGACAATATACATTTTTTGTGATTCCAATGGGTGTTGAATTACCTATATATATTCACAAACTAATATCTAAATACTTATGTGGTCAGTAACAAATTGGTGCTTAAAAGAATATGGTTATTTCCTCTAATAATATGATGTTAACAAAAGAGCTAACAAAAATTTTTATCTCCATAAGATCTTGGTATTAAAAAAATGCTAATTACTTGTGTATTCTCATTTTTGACGCGTACAAACTGTGTTGAATAAAAACTAGTAAAAACGACAGTTTTCTTTTACTCAACTCAGTTCTTTCGGGTGAATCAGAGATATAAGAATACAGCACCTTATCCATAGAAGGTCAGATTCTATAGAAATCTTGAAACTATTTTTCAAAGTCTCCCAAGCTTTATTCAGTATTCCAGTAACTGTTGGCACTAGTAGCGCAAGAGCATTACCATACTTTACTCAATCGTCAAACAATAATAAATCAAGTAGATTGCAGTTATTACAGTACGGGAGGTTACAAAAAAATATGTCTAAGACATCAAATTCATGTTCATTCACTATAACTGACGGGGTCTTAACTGTCAACAAATATCCATTTTGTACAAATTCAAAGGTGTATACTTAGTTGTAAGCTACTTATTTTCCAAGTATCAGATAAATTCATTTTTTTGTTCCAGTTAGTGGGGAATTACCCGTGTTTGCTGTATGCAAGTGCATTGACGCTGTCTGGTGCCAGAAAAGTGCAGACATGCCAGAATTTCACAGGACTTCATGCATACTTAATTGGAAATAATACAAGTTTACTAATTCATAAAGATGCTACACGTAAAAGCTATAAAATTACAATTGCAAACATCAGAATGGTCCGTAATACATTATTTAAAAGACAATAGTTACACTATTATTCAAATATTCTTAATAATAAAATGAACACGCCAAAGCCAGTAACATAAACTTGCCTATGTAGAGTTGAATCAGAGCAATGTGGTAATCGGTGAAGTGATGCGAGTACAACCTGAGTAACTGTTAATGACCTTTTCATCGAGTCGTGTTAGTATGTAACTCTCTTTTTTTCATTCTCGCTATCAGTCAGAAATTCGAAGGATTTGGAAGAAACTTGAAAAAGATTTACAAACGAACCATTATCGAGCATTATATACATTAAATTGACAAATGCAGGGGACTGGTAAGCGAAACTAGTAGGGGCAACTACTTTGTACGTAACCATAGTTTCAGTGAACAAAATGTGGCTGTCGATGGAAAAAAGTCATATAAAGTCAGGTTTAGTTTTAACAAATCCTAAGACACATTATGAACCTATTAGCAGAGTAGGTGGGGTACCTTCGTTGGACAACATGATTTAGAGTGGTATGCGTCATTTTTAGTGTAGTTTTCAATTTTTTAACTTTTTTTATTTCCAAAAATGTTCTATTTTTCTATTCATGGTTATTATAAAAATATTCTTTTATTTTTCTTAATAATGCACAGTATTCTCTACCAATATTACATTTATATGACATTTAAATTTTGTTAATATTAATGGAACGATCCATTGATCAACATTTGGAGTAATGTTCGAGATGGACCGCCAGGTTACACTTTTATTCATGTATCTATTTTAATTTTTTCGACTGTTAGTAAAACAGCACTTGTTGTACATGAATTCTCGTAACAGTAAATCTTTTACAGTATTCCACACATTGAAGGAGTTAATCAAACCCCTGGAATTATTTTATATCTATTTAAAAAGTAATATTAACTCAAGATAAAGATGTATCAAGTTTCATGTTCTTGTTAAACCCATGTTCCGAATACTTGACATGATCGGCACGAGATATTTTAAGATATAGTGAGCACAAATGTAACAAAACTTTTTGAAGTTTATTGTTGTTCTTCGTAAACGTACAATACATTCGATTTTTTTAACATTCTTGATTTGTGGAACAGTGAAATTGTCCGTTATGTGAGTTAACACATTTAGGGGTCCATAAAAATCTATACTTTAAGGTAAACTCTAAAAATTTTCTTACTCGTAGTGACATGATTATTTCGAATTTTTATGAGACTGTACCACATGTATTGTAGTTTTAAAGAAAAAGTTTCACTAATTTCTAAATATTTTGAGACATCCTCAGAACAACTTTGACCAATTGCATAACAAATAAAAATAATTTCTGTTACGTGAAATTTGGCAAGTTCTCATGCAGATTTGCTTTATAGTTGTACAAATGATTCATCGCCGCAATTGTATGTATATATAGACAGTAGATGTGCATGAATACGTGTTGGAAATACATGTAAATATGATTTTCTAGCCCAGAACGTCAATTTAATCTCGTTATTCGCTACGCGCATCTACACGGAATATTGTTGTTACTAGAATAAGCTATACCAAAAGTGATGAGCATAGAAAAATAACGTACAGGTCTTGAGATTTCTGCAACCAGTCTCACATTTTGACATACTTATCTGGATTGGTACAGGATTTTTCTGTACCATGGATAGTCTATTAAATTTGTATACTGCGCATGGCTTTCTACTGTACCGTCTACCGCGCATAGAGCGTGCGCTTATATATAATATACAGTGGAGATATGTATGTATATATATATATATATGTGAATACTTGCATACATGTATGGGATTGTCATTGTTATTTTGGCTCAATATGTAAATTGTTCTTTGCGAGTGAAAACCAATTATTATACGCAACAGGAAAGTGACTACAAGTGCCTACTGCACTTATCATTACATCTTGTTAGATTCGTATCAATGTATTGAACTTTATATTGTGTTGTGGTGGATATACTGAAATCCTAACCTCTTGAACTTTTACAGCTACGTATGTGTATATATATACTGACATTCTAAATGCTCCCACTGGCCGACTAACTTTCTGTACTGGTACAGGAAAAACCCGTACCACGTATCGGATTTTGACGTACTAAGTATAAGGTTTATCGATATTCACGAAGGTACTTTAAAGTATACTACCGTACCAAATATACCTGTACCAGTACACATTTTTCTTGTACAGAGTATCGAAAATACTTGTACTAACATATAGTACCTGTTTTTCTGGTAACAACAATCTTCCGTGTACGGTGCTGCCCTCATTGTCATTCAATTCCTATGTTAAATCTTATAGAGCAAAATAGTTGAAGTGGCCGCCGTCGACAAAAGTTCTTTACATTCTCATAAGAGTATGTGTTAAAGTGACAAGTAGCGCCAAACGACAGGTGCATAGCGAGTATGAGAAATTTGAGGGTGGCGGTGATCTAATTGGAGGAAAGAGAGCTATTTAAACGTGGTGGATATTAATAAAAAATATCAAAGCTGAAAAATTAATAGCAGCTTTAAATGCTTTTAGTATAAATGTAAGTTAACAATAAAAAATACTTAATAATGAAGAGTCTGACAATATAAAGACGAAAGGATAATTTACGAGATTATGAAAATTATCGTGAACGTAAAACATGCAACCCTAATGTTGTGAAGCAAAATATGATTTTTTATCAAGAATACTAACGCTTGTAAGTACTTAATAATATTAAGATTACTTTTTTTCATTTACTTACGAAATAATAGTCATAGCTGTAGATAACCGTATTACAATATAATTTATTGTAAAAATAATATAAAAAACGATGGATCACGTGATGAAGCCTGTTTATTCGTTGTGTGATTAGCTGAGACTGATCAAGCGCTGGTAGATTTGAAAATGATATTTTGAAAAATCACTGAAAGGTCAATTAAATTTGTTAGTTGATAAAGATCATAATATTACGTGTCATGATAAAGATTTAATTATTGTATTTTTCCTTAAAATCATATAGAAAACACATGTTTGACTGAATTTTGGGGGTTGGCGCGCGGAGCACGCAGGGAGCGCGGTTAATTTTGCAACAGTGGTCCTGACTGCATTTTATTGTTTGTGTCACCTAAGTACAGCTCATAATATTGAAACTAACCAATACTGAAAAGTAAACGTGATTCTGATTGCACTTATCCAGCAACAGACTAGTATTGGCAAGTGGTGCTGATATTAACTAAATCAATATCTGTTAGGTATTAATGCAACAGGACTTCAAGAGAATAAATAAGGGAAATTAAGATAGAGACAAAAAGTCACGGAGGCTGAATCTGACCTGTTGTAGTTACTGCTGCGCTAAGAAGCTGTTTCCAAGTCTGACTAGAATGCGAGAAATGGCCGTTGACGGGCCGTTGGTGGCCGGTACTTGGCCAGTACTCACCAGCGGCCGCTGCTGCTTTTCCAGCATCCAAGGCTCCGTACGGCGGGATGCCCATGTGCGCGGGAGGTGGCTGAGTCAAATGCTCTCCGTTAGGGCAGAAGAATGGCAGCCCACTGGCATGGGCTCCTGCCAGACCCATTTTACTTGCCTAAAAAAATCAGGAACACCGTTGTATTATTAATAATCATTATCATATTTTTTACCATAAGTTTTTTTTATCATCATCATCATCATCATCATCATCACCATCAGTATTATTTTTTTATTATTTTTATTTTTATAATGATACTCCTAATAATACTATTACCATGTTTTTCCAATAAAAAAATTTCTATGATTGCATCCCAAAGTTATAGAAAAAGTATTAGCAACTTATTTGCCATTCAGTCATTAGCTCACTTATAAAAAAGCCATCTGCTATCAATTTGCCAAACCCTGCTAGCCAGTTTTTGGACAACATTATACAAATAACTATAATCTTTTTATCACAGGATATATCTGTTTTTATCCAGCCATACTACTGCATGAGCAAAGCGAAGTAAGAAATCTTCAATAATTGTGCGTTTATAATTTAAAATACATGATATTTAAAAGTTTAACATTAAATTAGCTTAAGCACATACTGTAAACTTTATATCTATAAGACTTATTTTAAAAAAAAATGATCAAAGTAAAAATAAGCGTCTTGTGGCTGTTTGACTAACTAAAGGACTGAAGAGATAAATTGTGTTGATATTTAGTGATGTTATAAATCTGTATAGATCACATATTATTATCAACACAAATGTTATTACATACATGTTATGATGTTATCTCACGCATGCGCATACCCTTGCGCGCATTCACACACACACACACACACACACACACACACACACCAGCTGACCAAGTTATTAATACCCTGAGTCGATTTTAAATCAAATGTAGAGCAGCGTTATATTAAAAAAAGAACCCTAATCCTAAATACTAATACTTATATACTTTTAGATTGACATTTCAAAATAATAAAGTGGATATGTTTATGCGTATTAACTATTGATGACAGTCATCACTCGTCTTTCTATGGCTATCTTGTTCAATGCTATCTTGTAAACCCGTGGTCAATTTACATTCAATATTGCTAATCAGACCGGATCGTAACTTGGAATTTGTTGAAAAAATATTTGGATTCGCTATCTTCTATGATCTCATGCAAAATGATTACCAAAAAATCAATGTAGATGTTACCACGTCTAAAAATTAGTATAAAAATTTTTAAATTAATTTTAAAAAATGTTTATGGTGCGTTGGAAAAGACTAGTTAAGGTTGTCTGGACTTACAATAAAAAAGGTCTCTTGCAACTTTTCTCTAAAGTTAAAATATTTTCCAAGATATAAACTATTTAAAGTTTATCTGTTGATATAGTCTCAAAGTATGCATATAAATATATATACATGTATGTGTGTACATATTTTTTAAGTTATTATTCATCATCAGCCGTAGGCTCAGACATAACTTTTTTTACACAAGAATATTGTTTTTCAGCTATCGGTGCAAACCTGAGTTATGACCAGATGTTTATGAGTATAAAAACGTTTAAGCGCCAGGGCCAACCAACTCAATCATACCTTTGATCACGTATGCAAAGCGTAAGAGAAACAGTTAACCTACCCTTGAAAGTCAACAGCACAGGCGAAACGGTGAATCACTAAACGGTTAACGAATCTAAGTACTTTAAGCGCTTTACTTTACTGCTTCAAGCCTTTCTGTTCGACCTTTTGAGATAGAATTATGATTTAAAAAATCAAAAAAATCGTAAAATTCGGATGTCTTGTTCGAAGTATTTTTTTTCCAAGGAATACCTGGGATTAAAGGACCTCATTTTCAAAGGAGTGCTTACTTAAGAATTTTACTTTATTTTTTGATATTGAAAATGGCAGATTTTTGTAAAATTTTTCATACTTTTTAGTAGCTAGAGTGCTCAAATCAGGGATAAAAAATGCAGAGTTAAAAAAAATCAATTCTAAACCTCTTTGAGACTACATAAAAGTATATTTACTGAATATTTAAGAACCTTGGCAACATTCACATTGCTGTTTATTTGTATTGTTTTCAAAGCATAAAAATGGCTCGGAAATGGCCATACTTGTATTTTTTTTAAATTACAATAAATAATATCTCAGAAAGTATCAAGTTTAGAGAAAAGTGACAAAAATCTTTATTCTTTTAATCCAAAGAACCTTAAAAAATTTTCTGGGGCACAATGAAAAAATTTTTCAATTTTATTCTTAAAAAATGGTTTAAACAGTTTTTGGACAAACTTTTAATTCTAATTTGTTTTTAAAGGATTATTTTACATAAGATGATACTTAAAACCGTATCCAAATATTCATCTAATGAATATTAGGATACGACATGATCTAAATTCAGTAGCATAGCCAAAATATCATTCTTGATCTTCTAGATAAAGAAAAACATGCCTCTTTATTAGAAAACATGCTTGACAATCAATACTTGTGTCCCTCCTTCCCTTGGTGGTAGACTCTCTATGTATCTTAGGACGCATGAATTTTATACGCATTCCAGTCCCTAGCCTAAAATAACTCATCACACACAACGACCTTTGGTTTCTTGCATCTTCTCACCACGTACTTTAATTAAAAAAATTATTGCAGATAACTAACTTTTTGGGCTTGGAAAGTGTAAACTAAAAATGCATCCCCCACAATTATATCCAAAAAAATCATTTAAAATACTTTTTCCTAATTTTTTTAAACGCCAACCATTAAAACTCAGATTTGAGGATTTAGAGTAGAAAGTATAATCTTAGTAAAGTGGTAAAAACTTGCCTTAAGCTAACTTTTTAACTATACATAACAGGTGTAACCATATAAATAAAACCAAGAAACGCTTCAAAATAGAATCAAGATGATGGTTGGTTTCAGACCACAGCCTACTTTTCTTTGTTATACAGGGAATACAGACAAAAGTGACACAGTATTGGAAGCTTTAGCAGAGTTGGAAGTGCGCTTGGAAGTCTCCATACTTTTATATCTACATTTTAATTTACAACTAAATAGTTTTAGAGGTCTTGGGGTCATCTGAGCTCGCCCAAACTACAGCCACTATCAAACCCAGTCAAACTTTTTTATGCTGCCCCCAACTGCTTAGGGCTTGACATGGAAAATTGGGGGCTGGTTGTACTAGAGGTAAGTAGTAACACGCGAGTTTTGCTGGTAGTGTAGGCTTTAAGTTTTGATCAAGTCATCGTTTTGGTTGTAGAACTGTACGAAGTACTACTGTGCTATGTTTTAGTAATAAAAATATACTATTCGATAACAACTATTTAGTAAGCAGGTATGGCATACATGTTTGTGGTTAAATACATCCTTTTGTTAAATGTCCAGGAATTTGAATGGTCCAATAAGTTCTATGTTCCTGGCCTAACTGAATAAATCCAAAAGCGACTCGAAGCAAAGAAGTTTATTGTATTTTTTGATCACCCATGTAAAACTGTAGAGTCTTGTCTTAGTATACTTAACCTTTGGCACAGCAAAAAACGCGTAGTTTCTTCGCTATCAAAAATTATATTGTTAATATTTAAGGTCGTTTTTCTCAAAAATCACAAAAATGGAGTTAATCGGTTTGTCCAGGAAGTTACAAAAATATAGCATGTAATTTAAATACTTTATTTTATTATAAAATCTGAACAATGCAAAATTAAAAATAATCAAGTCAGTTTTATGTAAAGAGTCAATAAATATAACTTTAATGAGCCGTGATAATCCAATCGAAATGACGGAAAAGAGCAAACTCAAACGCACGAGCTACAGTAACGCGGTATAGTCAAGGGGGGAGTCGCCGAAATGTTTATTTGAAAGTATTTAAATTCGCTTTTAAATAAGCTTCCTCGAGGACGACAAAAAGCTCGGATCGGTCTGTTTGTGACGTTATGAATAATTCGGCTGCCAAAGCACACGGTATTGAGAAAGAAAAAAATGACGGGGAGAAGGATTTTAATGAACCCTCTCTTACAAGCTCCGTTGTTGCGCGCCTCTGCCAAAGGCGGTGGACGAATTAACTCGAGTGCCGCTGAGATTTGCAAGGCCTTATGAATTTCTTGAAGGGCCTGAGCCCTGCGTTCCTATCATTGATCGCTTGCCTAAAATCGCGGTGGTGACGGCGTTATGCCAATTTTATTCAATAAGCGACGAGTGGTCTCACTCCTCTCCAACGGAGCCAACAGAGCTAATTAGTCCTCGAAACAGTATAGCTTTGGCAGGCCGAGCGGAGAAGAGCTAAAAAGACTCATCATTACTCTCACCTCCGTTCGATGAGGTGTTTTTATCACCGCTGCTTACCATCAGCATGGCTGTATCACGCAGCGTCCGAACCATCATCAAAAGCCCCGGATCCAAGGGCTCACTCTTCATCCAGGCGAGCACTCGAGAGAGCAAGCCCACAACTTCACAAGACCTGGGCTGCTTCTCTCTGTCTTTTTGCTCATCTTCCTGACTTTCGGCCCCATTATTGTCAACATCATCGCCACTGTCCACCACCTCAATCTCCTCTTTGACGACAACGCAGCTCATAAGCTCGCTCTCGCGACCGAGTAGCCAGTTGCGTAACTCCTCCTCCTCCACCTCCTCCTCGGCAGGCCACAGCCCTGCCTCGTGCACCAACTGATGCAGCTCGGAGAGTAACTGCTTCAGGGCCGTGGAAGTGCTGCTGTCGCTATCGAGTTCGAGTTCAAAGGTTGTGGGGCACACGGACAGCCAAGCCTGGTGGAGTCGGGCAAAGGTATCCAGCAGCGAGTGTCGGTGCAAGTACTGACCAAGCTGAACGGCCGGGAACTCTCCGATCATTGCAGCCTCGGCTAAAACGCCCCGTAGCAGTGAGATGCAGTAGCGAGCACGGAGCTCCGCGGTCACGTGTAGCCTGGAAATAGAGGCATCAATGACCGCGAGCCTCACTTTACCGTCCGCGGTGACGCAGCTCTCCTCAGCCGGCAGATATGCAGCTCTCTTGGCCAGCAGTAGCGCACCGTTGGGATGGAGCGCAAGCACGCAGGGCGCGAATTCGCACTGGAACCACCAGAGAAAGAGACCGGTGGTTAGCGCTGCTTGGCCACCTCCTGCATAGATCACGGGCTGACTCACCATGTTCAC